GAGAAACGCTCCGTGGCGGACAGAGTCGCGAGTGTCGGCGTCAGCCACGGGGTTCGCCTTCGAGGTCAATTGCGGCCGTGGATCTCTGGAGAGGTGCCATGATATCGGGGAGGAAGCAGGAATCTAGGTCTTACGATGTATACGCGTAAGCCAGAACTTCCGAGAGGCATCATTGCGGCCAGAAATTCGTTTGCCTTTGTAGGCAGTGCATTGTACAACGCGTTGCCCACGCGTTGAACCCAGTTCTCTCTGTCGTGGTTGAAGTCGGAAGACGTGTGTCGCGTGTGTCAAGGCGCGCGTCGTTCATGTGAGGATCGCATCCCGTGCTTCGCATGCTGCGCAGGGCCTTCTGAAAGTTGTGCGACTCGCTTTGCGCTGGTTGCGCGCGGTGCAGCGTTCGTGGGAAAGCGCCCTTGCATGTTGCATGTGCACCAGGGGGCCGCCGCGCTTGGCTTTTTTTCTGTGTGTCGACTGCCGTCTGAGCGGACGCAGTTCCAACAAACAAATCTTTCCTGCCTCCTTCCTTTTCGGTCCTCTTCGCCTGTTCCTGCAAGCGTCTTCTTTCCCCGGCCCCCCTTGCCCGAGCTGTTCGAAGTTCGAGCCTCGAGGATAAGAGTTCGAGGCTTTTTGGGCTTCGGGGGCCCTCCTCGTCGCCACGGCCACACGCAGCTCGAAAAACTTGTACGTTACGTCCCGTGGGGCAGTTTGGGGACCCTCGTAGCTGCTGGAAACAAAACGACTCAGGCAGGCAATTTTTTGGGGGTGCGAAGGCTCGATTGTGAAATGTCGGAGAGAAGTACGTGCCGATATGGACCGACAAGAAGTTTTCATTGCCCCGGCGCGCGGACGGGCCCACGTGCTCGGAGGCGATGGTTCGGGGGAAGGGGGCTCGAGGCTCCCAGGGGCCGTGCGGGTTCTTTTGGAGTTCTCTTGGACCGCTTGGGGGGTTTCGTTGGCCGTCCAGAGGCCAAGTTGGGCTGTCTTCTCAGCTGCCCAGGGCCGTTTTGGAGACATGTTGGACAAGGTTCCCCTCGAGTGCGCGGGCCCGTCGCACTGTACAAGGGGTCTCGGCGGTCTCGGCTTCCAGAGGGGGTTACATTGTTTTTGAGAGGACGGGGCCCACGGGGGAGGACGCATGCGGCGGCGCGTTGCCTGGGGGGGGTGTTAAAAAAATGCGAACGAACACCGGGCGAGACATTCAATTGACATTTTGTCGTGCTGGTGCGGCGCAGGCATGGCGGCGGATATGGGGTTGACGCAGTGTGCTGCATGCGCGGGGATAGCTGTGGAGATCGCCAGCTCTTTGCTGGAGACCTGGTCGAAACGCCTGGAAGGTTTCAGTCGACGCCATCCCGAGTCGTTTCGTTTTGTAGTTTACAATGCTTCTCTGGGGAATCAAATTTGTTACAGAGCTATGTGGGAGACTTGGTGTCTTGGCAGAAAGTTGGGCAATCTGGGCGACGTGTGTGCAAGCGGCCCAAGAGAATTGCGGCGAAGAAGGGTTTTGGCATCGTTGCTGAACGTGTTTATGACGGCACCTGGGCTGCGGCCAAAACATTCAGGGACAGCGCCCAGTAATTATGACTTGTTGCGCTATGCAATGAATTGCGTATCTTGCGGCGCTCGCGCCATCCGAACATATTATTTCTCGACGGGACCATCCTCGACAGTGCGGGGCATAAACCTTGCCCGGTCGTCAAATTAGTGGAAGGCGCCCCGTTCGGCATTTCCATTCTTGAGTTGACAGGTGAAAACAGCGTTGGGTCCGGGTGGGGAGGCTCCCCATGTAGCAGCGATTGAGTTCGGGTTGTGTTTGATGTTGTCTGCGCGCTGCGCTTCCTTCACACACGGCAACCCCAAAGGGTACATGGATATTCGAAGGATCCCAACTTTTTTGTGGAGCGCAGCCCAGTTACAGTTTCTGTCCGTCTTGCTATGCTTTTTGCATTTGGGTTGGCGCACCTCTTGACCAGAAGGGCGAATCCGTTGGGGTGCACGTTACGCTGGATGGCCCCATAAGTCGTCGTACGAGTCGTACGCCGGGCCCGCCCGAACACAAGTGCGGATGTTTTTGTGTTGGCCGCTTTACCGTCTTCGTGGTCACGGGGATGTTGCCATTTGAGAAGATCCACAACCGGGAAATATAAATGGCAAATGAAGCGGCGAGGGCCACCGTCATTGCAATGGCCTCAACGGGAGTTTTCGCTAGTATGCCCTTTCCCGCCCATCGCGGCGGGTCACTGTTGCCAGCCGCAGGTTGGGTTGAGGCGCGCCATGCAGCAGGTTGGCAATTTGAAACCATTTCAGAGGCTGTCACTGCTGCGCCGCAGGCTTGTATGGACAATAAGAGTAAGCTCGAGGATTTGCGATGGCTTGGTGGAGGTGCTGACAGGGTTTTCGGGTTGAGCAGCGTCACCAACAGGCACTGCACCATTCGCTTCAGCGCTCGAGCACGTCCCTGTTGCTAGCATTGCGTGTGCACGGCCAGTTTCCAGCGTGCGTGCGTCGGCGCATGACGACGGCAAGCTTCATCTGGATTTTATACTTACGCCTATAGCTTCACAGCGCGCCTCGGCGCTATAGTTGAGAATGCAGTGGGGCGTCTACATGCCCGAGGATATTTGTTGCCCATTCCACGCCGCACTGCTTAGCCTGAAGAAGAGTTCGTGAGAAGATCAGCAGCATGACGTGCATCAGTATGCACGACGTGGATGAACTTGTTCGCCAATGCCCGCGGAGCGGCGTTGTTCTCGAAGAGACGGATTGCTTCATCTGCAGGGAGGAGCTGGCGGGTTCGCATTCTATTTCCCAGTGCCCTCGGAAGGACCAAACACGGATCATCTGAAAATCGGAGGTTGGGGGGTGAGATCGAAGTGGAACGGAGAGACCCCTTACCGGGAAATCGATTTCGGTTTCGTGTTCGTGCGTGCCTTGCGTGCGGGCGAGGCGAAGCTGCGTGGGCGGGCGAGAGGAAAGTCTCCTGTGGATGAGGCGCAGCCGGACCAAATGACTCCCTTCCGGCAACCAGTGCCGCGCGGTGTCCCGCCGGTGTCCTGCTGTGGTTGAGGCGCGGCCGGACCAAATGACTCCCTTCGGCGTCCCGTGACCCGCGGTGTCCCGCCGGTGACCCGCCGGTGTCCCGTCGGTGTCCCGATGATGACGGTGATGGTGATGACGACGATGATGATGATTATGATGATGATGATGATGATGATGATGATGATTATGATGATTATGATGATGGTGATGATGGTGATGATGATGATGATGACGATTCTGACGATGGTGATGATGGTGATGATGGTGATGATGGTGATGATGGTGATGCTGGTGATGATGATGGTGATGATGGTGATGATGGTGATGATGGTGATGATGGTGATGATGATTGTGGTGATGATGATGACATTGATGATGATGGTGATGGTGATGATGACGGTGGTGATGATGGTGATGACGGTGATGATGATGACGGTGATGATGATGGTGATGATGGTGATGATGGTGATGGTGGTGATGATGGTGATGATGGTGATGATGATGATGGTGATGATTGTGATGATTGTGATGATGGTGATGATGGTGATGATGATGGTGGTGATGATGATGACGTTGATGATGATGATGATGATGCTGATGCTGATGTTGATGATGATGATGACGTCGATTGTGAGATCGATTGTGAGATCGATAGTGAGATTGATAGTGAGACCGAATGAGAGATCGATTGTGAGATCGATTGTGAGATCGATTGTGAGATCGAGTGAGACCGAGTTACGATGGCGGTGCGTCGTCATAACAACAATCACCACTGTTGCCCATTGCTGGGCCCCTCCCGCAGGGTGGTCGTTTCGGTATGTTATCCTGGGGGGCACGGGTTGTGTGTTCTTGGGGGTGCACGGGCACTCCAGGCGTGTGTGGCTTGCTCGGTACAGCGCCGTTTCTTTCTGTTCGGGCAGCGCTTGGGTGGTATGTATTATAATGTGTTGCAGGCTTGCATTTATAATCATGACGTCGAAGTAACTCTAAACTCAAGTGGGTTCCGTTTATTCGGGCCGTTCCGTACACCTAGCTCGGGGGATCCATTCATGGCCGAAGTTCGCTTTGGCCAGGAAAGCCCTTCCGTTCCTCATCGGGCTCTCCTTACGTCAGCACGTTGGCTGTACGGGTTATGTCACGTTGATGTAGGCTGTACGGTTTATTTTTGTTTGAAGTGGGTTCCAAACTTAAGTCTGTTAGATTGATAGTTTGTTGCGCCTGTTGCACCCCGCGTGCGGTTCCCCTGCCTCATGGTTTTGGGATCGAAGGAGCCAGCTGCGGGCACGCTGCTCTATTCGCCATCTTTTTCCGCATTGCGAAGGCCTCATGGGTGGTGCTGCCGATTCTGAAGTGGGACGATGTAGACGACGACGACGACGACGACGATGACGCTCGCGAGCTCTCGTTGGGGCCCTGTTGGCCTCGGGACCCCCCCTCAGGACCCTCCCCGGACCGGCCCCGGCGATCCCCTCCCGGGACCGCCCCCCCGCGGGAAAGGGATCAAACGACTCGATTGGTGTTCCCCCTCTTGCGGCTCTGTGGGACTCTCTTGGCCCGTCTTGGTTTTGGATCGCTTGAAAAGTAGGGCCGACGACGACGACGACGATTCAAACGGAAAAGGGGAGCGGCGACGGCGTCAACGACGATTCAAATGGAAATGCGTCTCACGCACGCCGACAGGGTCGGCAAGAAAGATACAATACACACATATATATGTATACACACACATATATTCACATATAGAGAGAGAGAGAGAGAGAGAAAAAAAAAAGAAAAAAAAAACATAAACAACAAGTATCGTCTCTTGTCACCACCTGTCGCGTGGGCGCGGCCTAATTTTCGTGGGTATCCGCCTTGGGTTGCTTCCGCTTGTCCGCTCGGCTCCTCGTCAGTGTTCCGCCTACCGTCCTGCGCTGCGTGGCCGACGTGCTAGGAATGCTGCTCCTGCTTCTCCTGATGAGATTTTGGCCCGAGAGTCCTCTGCTGGGCTAATTAGAGCGGGCGGCTGCAGCACCGTCTCGATGGGCCGCAATAGCGCAAGCGAAAGCAGTGGCATCCAGGACGAGTTGCCCCCCTCTGTAACCAGCTGGTTGCTCGGTCTGCTTGACACGGCCTACGGCACGCAAGCGTACCTGAAGAAAGTGTTCCTTCCTTGTCTGAGGCATTGGACTGATGGGTGGGGCGACCTCACGGTGATAGAGCAGCTGTATTCTGAGTCCAGAAGTTTGCTCGAGCGACATGCGCGGGGTCCTCAGAACAATGCGGCATTTGTGACTGTTCAGGCTCGTTCTGAGCGTGCGGGGGGGCGCGCAGTCTTGGAAGGGATCGTCTGGAGCCCGCTCCACGCCTTCCTGCCTGAGGAGGCGGTCAGGGCACCATTCCAGGCGTGGCTGCCGCGAGGAGAGCCGTGGGCAGTAGTGGTTCTCTGCGGGGGCACTGCAGACGAGACGTACCTGTACCGGCGCATGTCGGCAGCGCGCCGAGGGGGGGCAGTGAGAGGAGGCAAGGCCTTCTCGGGAGGCGGCGAGGCTTTGGAGAATGCCTCGAACATTCGTTAAAAGGCTTGGGGCCTTCTTAGGCTTCTGAGAAGACCCGCCCCCTCTGCATTCCCTTCTGGGCGCGCCGCCGGGCATGGCTCTGGTGGAGCCGTTGCTCCAGCACGGCGTTGCATGTCTGTTGCCAACGATGCCGTTTTACGGTTCAAGGAGACGGAAAGGACAGCGAATGTTTTATTCAGGACGCTCACGCCATTCTGCCGACCCGCAGAAGAGGAGATACGTAGTTCCCGAATTTGTCGGAGGTTGCGGAGTGAGACCGAAAGGGAATGGAGACCCCGCACCAGGAATTCGGTTTTGGTTCGTGCCGCGTGACGTGCGGGCAAGACGAAGTTGCGCCAGTTCTCCTGCACTAGCTGGGCCCACGTCGCGCCATCAGAAAGTTGTGGTCCAGGCGCAAACGCCAAGGCGTGCGCGGGGTTGCTTGTCCTGCGGTCGTGCCGACGGTTGTCTTTGGAGGGCTGTCCTTCTGTCTGTCGTGTGGTTATCCAGTGGCTGTCGTGTGGTTGTCCCGGTGCTCTGCGGTTGTCCCGCGATCAGTTTGTGGTTACTGTGTGGTTGTTCCGTCCGTCGCCCCGTGATTGATCTTGTGGTCGTTCTGTGGTTTTCTAGTGGCTGCCCCTGGGGTGTCCTGGTGCTTGTTCCGTGGGTGTCCAGCGGTTATCTTGTAGCTCCTCCATGATTGATACGGGGTTGTCCAGTGATTCTCTCGTGATTTTCCCGTGGTTGTCCTGTGTTGTCCCGTGGATGTGTGGTTTTGCTTTGGTTGTCCAGTGGTTATCCCAGGTTTGTCCAGGCGTTGTCCCGTCGTTGTCTTATTATGTGGTTGTCCTGTCTTTGTCCAGAGGTTGTCTTGTGCTTGTGTGTGGTTGTCCTGCGGTTGGCCCGCGGTTGTCCTTGTTTGGCATGTCCATGGGTAGGCACCGATACGATCTACACATGTATATTTACAGAAAATACATGCTGATCATAGCTATCGTCATATACGAAGGTTTGACGGTGAGACCGAAGGGAAATGTGAAGAGCCTAAGCCGGAACAGAGTTATTGTTTTGCGTGTTTTGCGTGCGGTTGTGGCGAGGTGAAGCCGCGCGAGTTCCCCCATTGGCCAGGGACAAGTCAAACAAAAATGAGTCGCACCCCTGTCGACGGCCGTTGCTGGGGTTGTCCCGTTGGTTGTCCCGATGATTGTTCCGATGGTTTTCCTGATGATTGTTCCCATGGTTGTCCCGATGATCGTCCAGATGGTTCCTATGATTTTGCTATTGCGTTTCCAAATGTTTGTCCCGGTGGTTTTCCCGATGTTTGTACCGATGGTTTCCCCATTGGTTGTCCCGATAGCTGTTCCGATGGTTGTTCCGAAGGTTGTCCTGATGGTTGTTTTGCTGGCTGATCCGACGGTTGTCCCGATGGTTGTTCCAATGGTTGCCCTAGTAGTTTCGATGGTTGTCCCGACGGTTGTCCCGATGATGTTCTTGATGTTCGTCACGATGTTTCTCCCGATGCTTGTTCTGGAGGTTGTCCCGATGGATGTTCTGATGTTTTTGCCGATTGTTGCTCCGATGTTTCTCCCGATGGTTGTCCCAATGGTTGCCCCGATGAATGTCCCGATGATTGTCCCGATTGTTCTCCGGATGGTTGTCCCGATGGTTGTCTTGATAGGTGTTTTGATGGTTGTCCAGAATGTTGTCCCGATGGTTTTCCCGAAGGTCGTCCCACTTGTTGTCCCGATGGTGGCCGTGTCGGTTGTCCCGATGTTGGTTCTGCCTGGTACTATCCACATACGGATTGATTGTGACATCGGCACAGTGTGAGACCGTTATATGATGATAGCAATCATTGTATGGATGCACTGGTTATCTCAGTGGTTGTCCCGATGGTTGTCTCGATAGGCAGTGATGTTGAGCGTATATATATATATATATATATATACGTACCCATACTCCTATGTTACACACAAACACACACACACACACACACATATATATATATATATATATATATATACACACAGCGCTGGGGATCCCCCCTCCCTACCGAACGAATTTCGACCACCCTGGGCGCCTAATACGGCCCCAAAGAGGTCCAATATGGTTCCAAGACGGCCCGAGAGCGCTCCAAAACGGCTTCAGATGGCTCGACAGCTCAGGAGACTCCCAAACCGCTTAAGACTTCCGCCAAGCAGCTCCAAGGCGGTCCATGAGGCCCCCCAAGACGTCCAGAAGAGTCCTAAGAGAACACCAGACAGGCTAACATCGCTCAATTCGTAGAACGTATATGATTAGCCATGCTCGCGCTTTTGTACCCCAAGTTTCCAGAACGGTCCAAGAGGCCTCCCCAAATCGCCCCCAACCGGATCCAGAGGCCCCCAAGAGAGCCCCAACAGGGCCCCAAGACAGCTTCAGAGAGTCCCACGACGGCCCAGGATAACCCCCAGGGTGGCGCAAGAGAGCCCCGAGACAGCCCAAGATTGCCCCACGAGATTCCCAAGAAACCCTCAAGGCAGCACCAGGAAGCCCCCATCAGAGCCCCACGACGGCCAGGGCCCCCCGAGACAGCCCACGAAAGCCCCCAAAGGGCCCCACGGTCCAAAAATGTTTCAGAAATCCCAGAAGCGCCCAATAACAGGGACTCTCCTCCCACTCCGTTCGGGTTTCCTTCTTCTGTGCTCACGACTGCTCCAGAAATTGGGACCCAAAGGGGCCCGATGATTCGGACCTGTTCGTTGGATCCTTACACCTGCGATCGGTCAAATTCTTGAATGGAAGTGTGTCTGGATTTCTTATCACACGGATGGCCAGGCATCCGGACCATGAACAATTCTACGTATGCATGACCTTTCCTATAGATCAATTAAGTTAAGTTGTTTACCGTTGCCAATGTATTACACAGATGATGAATTTTCACAAAAGTGCGAAGTTTCTTCGCGATTTCCCAACTTATCATTTGCGGGACATGAGAGCAGGGCTACGAAGGGCACGATGTCGGCCACGATGAGCGACAGCGGGGACACGAGGGGAATGCGTATGGGGCCACGAAGGGCGCGAACGAGCGGGGGCCACGAAGGGCAGATAATGCGGGGCCACAGAAAGCAACGACGCGGCCGCTGAGGGTAGCAACTGGGCCACGCAGGACAGCGAGGGGGCCACAAAGGGCGACAGCGGGGCCACGAAACTTATGCACGTGGGGCCACGACGGGCGCGAACAAGCGGGGGCCACGAAGGGCGTGCATATTTGGGGCCGCGGAGGGTGGCGATGGGGGCCACGAAAGGCAGCAACGGGGTCACGAAGGGCAGCAATGGGGGCCACGAAGGGCAGCGAGGGGGCCATGAAGGGCAGCGAGGGGGCCACGAAGGGCAGCAATGGGGCCACGAAGGGCAGCGAGGGGGCCACGAAGGGGTGCAACGGGGCCACGAAGGGCAGCGAAGGGGCCACGAAGGGCTGCAACGGGGCCACGAAGGGCAGCGAGGGGGCCACGAAGGGCTGCAACGGGGCCGCGAAGGGTAGTTAGGGAACCACAAAGGGCTGCAACGGGGCCACGAAGGGCAGCGAGGGAGCCACGAAGGGTTGCAACGGGGCCTCGAAGGGCAGCGAGAGGGCCACGAAGGGCTGCAACGGGCTCACGAAGGGCAGCGAGGGGGCCACGAATGGCTGCGAGATCTTGATCCTTACGTAATCTGTGAGCGACTCCTAAGCGTGAGCGCGACTCCTGGGCGCCTGAGTCTCGTGAGCGCGGGGTTTGAGCAATTTGCGCGAAATATCCACGCAAGGGCGCTGTTCTTGAGTAGAACGCAAACAAGTCTCCAGCGAGGGCGCGACTCCAAAGCGCCGTGAGAGCGATTCCTGAATCTATTGTAAGGAACTTCCAAGCGACCCAGTCAGGAACGGGGGTCCTGACAAGGGAGTCTCCGGCGGGAGCCGTTGTTGTTGTAATCCGAGGGCCACCAACACAGTTTGAGGAGGCATTTTTCCCGATAGCAAACAGGGTGCGAGCGCCAGGAGGGGCACTTCAATTGAAAAATACAATGTGCACCGGAGGGGGGGGCAACACTAGTTATTCTTCAGTAGTGCGAATTCAACAACAACAACACCATCACCAACAACAACAACAACGCAACAACAACGCAACAGTCGTACTCTTTACCACGGATCCTTTTTTTCAGCCACGCACCCAGGGACAATGAATCACCGTTCGGCCCCCTCCCTCTGATGTGGGGGGGAGGGATTGATGCCCACATCGTGTGACAACGATAGAGACTGAGTCCAACAGGGAGATTCGCAATGTTGTCTGTAGATTAAGTGTGGGATCAATCGGTACCGAGATCGCTCGATAGTTCGGGTGCGAATTTGTTCCGACGAAAATAGCACAACCGAAATCAGCACCCATCCACCCGAATCTCCTTATCACCCGAATGGTGGTCCTATGGTATGTACTCTTTGTCAATTTCGTCGTCGTTTGTGCTCCTTTTCTTCCTCGTCTGTCGCGGGGCTTGATATAGCAAGTTGGAGGCCTCGATGGCGGCCTCCCGAGATTTTTTTTATTGCTTCTGGTTGATTCGAGGCGACCATCAGGAGGCTTCTTGGGGTCTGGGAGGCAGGTTGGGGTCATGTTGGGCGTTTTGGAGGCCGTCCCTTGTCAGGGAGGGTTCCCAGGGCCCCCACGAGCTCCTCCTGTTGGGCCTCTCCAGCCCCTCTTTGGGGGGGCCCTTATGAGGGTCTTGACGGTTGTCTTGTGGACCTCTTGGGCACTTTGGTTATCTCAGGGTCGTCTTTGGGGCGGGGCCTCTTCGGCCGTCTTGTGGGATTCGCGTGTCGTCTCGGGGTTCAGCCCCCTGAATAAAGTGAGGATGCGGACACAATTTTAACACCTTTTTGGCTTTCATTCGGCGTTTTGCCGAGTTTTATTGGGCGGTCTTGGGGACATCTAGGACTTTCCGGAGGCCTTTCTGGCGTATTGGATCCCTTCTTGAGCCCTCTAGGAGGACATTTTGAGCATCGTGGAGACCGCGGTGGGTGGATTTGGAGGCTCCCAGGGCCAGGGAGATGAGCTCGGGAGCTCGGACATCCCCCTGCCCCACCCCGCACACCCCTCGAACCAGGGAAAGATGTGGAAATGTGAGGGGGACAGCCAATTTCACCACGCATTGTCCGCCCGATCAAGCGGAGGTCGACGGATTCAATAGGATTACGTTATTCCGCATACCCCTTGAAGATGCGATGCGTTGCTTCCGATGTTGTATGTGTTGTTTGCGTTCGTGTTGTTTGCGTGTAGTTGTTGCTGAGTCGACCTCCTATTCCTCTGCGGGGCTTCTTGGGGGGCATTTTGGATGCCTCTGGGGCGGCCACTTCTTGGGGAACTTGTTGGGGGTATGTTGTGGGTGGTAAGGGGCATCTTGTGGGGGAGGGCTCCCCAGCCTCCTGGGTTTGAAAACATATTGGGCATGTGTGTGACGCAGCCTCTTGAGAGTTGTTCTGGGTCTTGTTGAGGCTCCCTTGGGTCGTCAATGGGGCACTCGAGCCGTCTTGACGCCATGTTGAATGTGCTTGAGGCCCCGTCCCGCGTGTGGGAGCCCTTCTTGAGCCATCTTAGACGGCATCTTTGACAGCCTGGAGGCCGCGGAGGATGGATCTGGAGGCTCGGATGGGCCCGAAGATGCGCTGCGCCGGTCGTGCACCCCATTGTGCAAGGACTATTGGGCCGCGGGGAGGGAGACAGGGGGAGGGCGACGCCGATCATTTCACTCTTCTCTCACCCCCGGGCAAGTAGAGGTCGGCGGATCTAAAGACGATGTCTGACTTGGTGCTGCAGTGCGTGGCGGGGTGCAATGAAAACAGCTGCCTTCTCGACTGGGCTCGCGTTCAATATCCCCATGCGCTACTCGGGATTGCAGGCATGAGCCATGGCGCAGGTGCAGCATTAGCGACGGCCACGCATGCGCACCATGATCTAGCTGTTGTTCCCTTGCTGGTCCCCTCTTCCCCATCCGTGCTTGCCACGGGGTCCTTGGAGTACGAGCTGGCGCTGGACGCACTGGGGGCCACGCGTCGCCGAGGAGCGCCGAGCTGGGAGGATGTCCGCCACGTGGTGGTGGATACATTGGAAAGCGCTTTGGGGCCAACGGGGGGAGATACTGTGGTGCCGCCAGCACGCGGAACGTTTATCAGATGTGTTGTCGCCGCATGCGCAGCTCATGATGGCATGGTTCTGCCTGAGCGCGGCAGGGCGGCCATTGACCGTGCGAGGGACTTGTTGGATCCAGATGCCGAGTTGCATTGGGTGCCCGGTGGGCATGCGTCGTCTTTCCTACTTGCACGATGGTTGTTCCCTAAGATGATATTGAGAAGTTTGCGCCGCTTGGAGAATGAGATGAGACACAGTGGTACTGCAGGCTCATCACGTCTTTGATTGATTCCTCTCGCTTGTGGGAGGGCACGTGGCATTGCCACTGTTCAAGGTGCCACATTTCATATCATGACTCCGACAGTAGGACCCCGCATGATAATCCGTTTTGCGTGCCATTAACCCTGTCCTCCTCGCCTTGGCGACACCCTCCTCTCGCCGTCTGCTCTGCCCTCTCTTCCTCCTCCCCCTCTTATTTCTCACCCTCCTCCTCCTTCTCTTCCTCCTCCTTTTCCACCTCCTCATCATAGCCCTCCCCCTACCCTTTCCCCCTCCTCATCCTCCTGCCTCTTCTCCATGTGACCCCCCCTTTCCCCGTGGTCGGGACAAGCAAATATATTTTTCTCGGCGCCGTCGCCGCCTCGGCCAGCACGCGCGCGTTCGCCGACGGCCGGATCACGGAGCCTTTGGGGCAGTCCCGCGGGCCATGCCTTTTGAACAACCCCGCGGACCGCTGGGGCGCGTTGGCAGGCCGTCGGGGCAACCCCGCGGGCCAGGCCGTTGGGACAACACCGCGGGCCTCGATGTAGGCGCGGCCGCGCTCAGGCGGGCGACCGCGAAACCCAACCGTTTTGCGAGCTGCTCCGCCTCACCCCTGGAGGTCTTCGTTTTTCATCAAACTTCTCGAGCGCCTTCCGCAAGGACGCCGGCGGCCCGCGCTCCAGAGCTTCGCGTGAGGGCGGCCGCAGGATCAGCATGTTCCGCCTGCGCGCCGCGCGGGTAACATGACGTAGAGGTGCCGCCGCCGCTGCTCGTCCGAGATGCCCGTGCGGCCAGCGTTTTCGTCCCCGTCGCACTCGATGGTGGCGCCGTTGCGCAGCGTCTGACCCTTCGACCGCGTGGAGGCGAGGTAGGACGCGTGCGTCAGTGTAAACCCCGAGCGGCGCACGACGTGCGGCCCCGGGCTCTGCCACGCGAGTTCCTGCTCGTTGGGCCTCAACATGAGCAAGCTCCTCGCCGGCGTTTCGGTTTCGCCGTCGTGGTCGCAGCAGTTCGGCGACCTGTCGCAGCAGCTCGGCGACCTCGTGGTAGATCGGAGACTCCTGGAAGCCGTGCGCCTGCAGCCAGATTCCCTGCGGTAGGTAGCAGGGGCGAAGGAGCTGGCCTGGCACTCCTCGCACTCCCGCTCGTCGTCTGGGTGAAATTCGAAGGCGACGATTGTGGCCCGTTGCTCGTGCGCGAACCCAAATTTATTCTTCAGCTCGTCCTGCACTGCCGTGAACCGAGCCTCCATATCAACGCGTGCCGGTAAGACGCCGTGGATGTCCCCCGTCTTGTGCATGTTCGGGACGTTCGGGAGGCATTGGCTTTCGTCTGGATCGCCTCGGGTCGCGCCGCACTCGTCCACGGCCAGCAGGAAAACGAGGGGCACGCCCAGACGCCGCGCGTCGCCACGCGCGCGCGTGTTGATCCACTCTGCGAGCGTCTCCCAGTAGACGCCCATGCCGTAGCCGAGCCGAAAGTTTCCGTGCTGGTGCCGAGGGTCCAGGACGTCGTCCCCCGGGCAGACCAGACCTCTGGCTGGAAGGGTTTGCCCTCGCGCGTGCAGCCCAAGAACGCGATCAGAAGGCCCCTGGGTTCGAAACGCGCTCCGTGCCCATGAGTTCGAAAACGCAGCGGATCTGAGAGAATACCTTGATGTCGTGCTGAATCTCCACCGTCGGCGGCTTCGCGTAGTTGCACGACCCGTCGTCCAGGACTTCGCTCACGTCCGTCAGGAGGCCAGTACTTCCGGCGGGCTTCAGCTGCCGGAACATTCCGAGGTGCAACACGATGGGGACGCGCCCGGCGTTTGCACGTCGTGCGTGCCACTTCGTCCGTGGCAGGCCCGAAGGCCCAGCGCGTTGTGCAGAGGTGCCGCCATCATGCCCACTTTTTCGATGACCAGAACGCGGACGCGCTCCCACAACCACGACAGCCTCTTCTGCATACCACCCGGCCTCATCTTCGCGTTGATGTATTTCTGGACTTGCTGGGCACAGGCGTTGCGCGGCGTTCTGGCATTCAAAGTCTTTTGTGGATATGTTCTTCGCCTGCGCGTTCGAGAAGGCCACGACCATCATGGCGCCATTGTCCAACGCCAGTGAAGGAAAACGATCTTCTGCACCAGGTGGGTCTTCCCCGAGCCGCCCTGGCCCAGCAGGAGCAAGTGCGCCATTTTTCTTTCGTCCAGGGTTTCTTCTTCTGCACGTCGTCCTCCCGGGCCCCGTCGTAGGCCTTGGCATACTTGGCGTCGAAGAGCGTCTGGCCCCGCGTGAGTCTCTGGTACTCCAGCAAACCATCGACCAGTACGGCGATGTACGCGCCGGGCGCGGGGTACACTCTGCTGTCGAACCTGGCCGCAGCGGGGGCGCCGCCCAGGCCGTCAGCGCTCTCGTTCGCGCCGTGGTCGGCGCCCGCGTCGTGTTCGTCGCGAGTGCTCTGGAGGCGGTCGGCCTGCAGGGCCGCCCGGGCGTCTCAAAACGCGCGCACGCTGCGGTCACATGAGGTCGGTACTTGGCCGCGGGCACAGGAACGGCCGCGGCTTCCGTCTGCTCGGGCGCACCTGCGCCTTCGCGGGCCGCTTCGCGCATGCACGGGAGCGCGCGGAGCTCCTTGGCCAATTTCGTGACACGTTTGCGGCGCGCGAAGTTCAGCACGTCCGCCATGTCCTGCTCCCTGTCGATGCCCCCTCTGGGACGGGTTGGAAACTATCCTGGACCGTCGAGGGAGGCGCGCCCGGGTGCTCCACGCCCTCGCCCGCCTCGGCGCCATCATCTTCATCAGCGCCTCCACCAGAAGCCGCCCTGAGGTACGCGTTCTGCACTGCCGCGTCGCACTGGCACTGCCAGGGTTTCTGTTCCTCGCGAACCAAGGCGATCCCGTCGAGGTTTGGCGGCATAGCTTTCATGGAGACGTACTGGTTCACCGTCGCGTTTGCTTTCTCCCCATCGGGAGACTGGGCGGGGTCCAGCGAGTTGCCCTCCTCGTCCTTGCACTCCGTCCGCGCCTGGTGCAGCCTGGTGCACCGCATGGTGAGCGTTCGCTTCGGCCGAGGATGGCTGGCGCAAAGGTTCCCCCTGCGCCCGATTCGGATGGCGATGCGTTGCCACCGCCAGCCCGGACGCAAGGGGTTCCCCATGCGCCAGATTCGGCTGACGATGGGCTACCACCGCCATTCCGGAGACAAGGGTTTCCCCCTTCATTCGATTCGGCCGAGGATGTGCTACCATCCCCGGCCCGGACGCAAGGGCTTCCCCCTGCGCCCGGCCGCCGTCGTCCTCTTCTATTCTTGTTCTTCCCATTCCTCCTCTGATGGGTCGACCGAGAGCCCACAAGACCCCGCTCGGACTCCTAAGCGTCCCAGTGGATCCGATAGCCTGCTCGGCTTCAAATATGGAACTTGTGAACCTATACGGTGGGAGCTGAAGTCCCCGACCTGGCGTCCTCCATATTCGTGCTGGAGGAGCCCAGTCGGACTTCAAGCTACACGATTGCCAGACGAGGCCCCAGCTCGAGATTTCTTTCATTTTCAGGCTCGAGGAGCCCAAAAGTGACGACAATTACGGGATTCGCATGACCCCACTCGGGATACCAACACGAAGTGCGGGACCAATAGGGGGGCGGCTCCCGCGTCAGAGTGCCTCACAATGTACCCACAGACGAGGCTCCCGCTTAATACTCCCTTCACATTCGAGTTTCAGACGCCAAGTGACGATAATTTCACGTTTCCGATGGCCCGCTCGGATTGCTAACATAATTGCAGGCCCCATAAAGAGGGGGCACCCAATTCACAGGCGATGCTCCTACTTGATACTTCCTCCATAGTCAAGCCTCAGGCGCACAAAAGATACGACGGCTACATGTTTCTAATGACCCGATCGGACTGCCAACGTGAAGTGCAGACCAAATTTGGTGGGGCTTCCCGCCTGAGACTCCCTTACAATTCGCTCACAAACGAGGCTCCCGCTTGATACTCCCTCCGTATTCAGGCCTGAGGAGGCCAAACATGACGGCAGTTTCAGGTTTCCGATGACCCTTTCGGATTGCCAACATGAAGCGCGGGACTTTCAGGGAGGGGGTTCCCGCCTGGGATTTCTTGACGATCCATTTACAGACGAGTCTCCTGCTCGATGTTTCCTCCATATCCAGGCCTGAGGGATCCAACAGTGACGACATTTACAGGTTTCCGATGACCCGTTGGGATTACCAACATGAAGTGCGGGACCCATGGGGAGAAGTTTTCCGTTCGAGACTTCCTTCAAAGTGAGTATGCAAGAGTTCAAGTGTGTCTCAGAATGCGAGTGCGTGCATGCTTGCGTGATTGTAGGGTGATGATGACGGTGGTGATGAGGATGGTGATGATTATGTTGTGGTGGCGAGTGAGTAAGTAAGCAAGTGAGT